TTCAGACTTCCCGCGAAGATCTGATTCGCGGGAAGCAGGGGAGGGGGAGGAGCAGGGGGGCGGAGCGTTCAGGGGTGGGGAGGAGGGGGACGACAGCTGCAGGCCGGACAGCGTGGTAAGGCTGCAGGGGATGGGGGGAGCCGGGAAGGGGCTTTGGCTGCCCAGCGGCGCTTGGCCGCCGGTTTTCTATCTATAAATAGCCGACCGGGGGAAATCCCGGACATTTTTAGATTTTTAAAAATCCCCCCCGGACGGCTATTTATAGACCGAAAAGCCGGACATGTCCGGGGAAATCCGGACATATGGTAGCCCTAGAAATGAGGGAAGGTTGGGGTTTTCTCTCTTTGACCTCCCCTGCCCCCAACTGACACCCACACCACAAAGGACCTGATTTACATTTTTCTTACAGCAATGTAAACTGGGAATAACTCCACTGAGAACAATGAAGTTACACCAGCATAAAACTGGTGTAAGAGAGAAATCTGAGCCTAATGCTTGAGCCGATTTCCATTAAAAACAGAGAAAGATTCACCTCTGCTATGTGATATTTGTATTGCTTAGTTTGTTTACAGAAAAACTCCAAGATTTACAGCAGAGATGTTAAAGAATAAATTCAATGCAAAACCCCAGCGGCAAAAAGGTGGTTCTAATTTAGATTTTTTTTTAAACCTGCCCCAACATTGAAACTTTAAGGTGACATGTAAGTATTTTCATAAGACCCTCTGCATGGAAATAATTTCTTTAATGTCCCCTACATTTGTATTGCCAACGCTTGTAAAATCCACTGCTGAACTCAAAAACAATCCAGACAAGAAAGGCCAGTGCCCAGAAACTCTTGGGAGATTCTGTAATTTTCATGCAAAAAAATCTGACCATTTCCTCCTTGATCTTCACCTTAACTAACTTTTCCCACTTGTTATAGTTCTTTTTCTCTCCTGCCTTTCATCCTGTTTTATTTCATTTCCTGACCACAACACCCCTCAACGAAGCAGAATGTGGCTACGCTACAAACACTGCTACATCTCTATCCTGCCCCATCCCCCTTCTGGTTCTTTGTACACATTGAAACGGTTTGAAATGGAGGTGGGAGAAGCATATGGTTCAGAGCTTAGATGATTAAATTCTTGCTGCACAGAGTAGAATTTGCATGGCTCTTGAATCAGCTAACTGGGGGAGAGGAGGATGTGTCTCTCTTCTCTGCTGGAAATAACAGTTGCAAAGAAGGAATTCATTTGCTGCATCACTTGTGAATTATAGTTCCTTTCCATCTGTCTCCTTTGCAAAGGAGGACACAGCTTGATCCCTTCCTTTCCTTCCTGTTTATATTTAAACCCCTTATTTGTCTTTCACAATTTCTTCTTCTTGTCACCTTTCTGCTTTAAGTCACCGGTCTCCTCTCTCTTCTCCTAGCTCTTAACTGCCAGTTTTTAATTGACATCGCTTCAGATCCTCCTCTGCTCTTCCTTCTGCTGCATTTCTCCCCTCTGGCTCTGCCTACTCTTGCGTTTTTCCTTCTAATTTCCTAGTTGACTGAAAAATGTACAAAAATAACTGTTTCCTTTTTTTTGGAGCTGGATTTCAAAATTTCAGTGACATTTTTCATCAGAATTCCTAAATTTGAAACATTTTGACCAGCTCTAGCAATGATCTAGCTCCAGTGTAGGTGGGCCATGAGCAGCAGATAGCAATTTGACCACCTTGTCCACTCCACCTGCTCTGAGCGGGGTTAGACAACATGTTTGTTAGAACATCAGTATTCTCGCTGTATTAGAACTCCCACCCTTGCTGACCCTGGTGTCACTGCAATTGCAGGAAGCATGAAGAAAAATGTTTGTGTAGACAAGACCTCCCTGACAGTGAGAGCTCTCTGCAGGGGAATAGTCTCCTTAGAGAAATGGTAGAGGCCCCACCACTTGGACATTTGAAATTAGACTGGACAATGTACAATGGGAAATAATCCTGCATAGGCATAGAGATGGACTAGATCAGTGATTTTCAACATGTGGACCGTGGACCGCTGGGGATCCGGAGACTATGTCTAAGATTTCCAAATGGGTCTGCACCTCCGTTCAAATTTTTTCAGGGGTCCGCAAATGAAAAAAGGTTGAAAACCACTGGACTAGAGGGACCCTAATAGAGATTGTTCTTGCATTCTATATTCTTACCGTTCATGCCTTCCTTTTTCAGACCCTATTCTCTATCTGCAACCACCTTCTTACCTCTCTCCCCCCACTGCTGCCTATTCCCTTCTGTTCAGAACTCCTCAATATCTCCTCCCTCCTATGCTAACTTGTCCTCTCTTCCCTCATTTCCTCTCTTTATCAAAAAAAATTTTTTTAAAGACTTTGGGGGAATCTCAGATCTGAACTTTGTTGTTTCAACTCTTCATAATTATTGACATAGTAGGCAGGGGTAACATACAACACACAGTCAACCTGTGGAACTCTTTGCCAGTGGATGTTGTGAAGGCCAAGACTATAACAGGGTTCAAAAAGAACTAGATAAATTCATGGAGGATAGGTCCATTAATAGCTATTAGCCAGGAAGGGCAGATGGTGTCCCTAGCCTCTGTTTGCCAGAAGCTGGGAATGGGCGACAGGGGATGGATCACTTGATGATTACCTGTTCTGTTAATTCCCTCTGAAGCACCTGGCATTGGCCACGGTCGGAAGACAGGATTCTAGGCTAGATGGACCTTTGGCTGTTTTTGTAATCACCATTATACTTAGTGGAATTGGGTCTGTAGTTAGTACATAATTTACATCAAATAATATAACACATGTAACTATGGGCCATATTCTACCTTTTATTTTAGGGAATTGGAGTTTTGTATGCAGAGTAGAATATGGCAGGATGTAATTAACCTCCTGTATATTTTATGGTACAAAAAACCGTGAGTCCCACCTCCAGGTATACAATAATGCGTATCCAGTATAAAATTGATACTATTTTGGGACTTGTTTGGCGAGAGACAAAAAAGTCAGTTGCTGCCACCTAGAATTCAAGTTTCATCCAAAGAAATAGCCAGGGTAGGGGAAACTAACTAAGATTTTTCGACTGACAGTATTACGACTAGGACTCTGAGGATAAAAATGAACAGAAAAAAAGGGGGTGAACTAAAGAAGTGCCACAAAGTATTTGAAACAATTCCCTTTCCTACCTTTGGACAAGATGCAGGCTCCAATTAGGTAAAACACCACCATGAAATGGTTGTTTCATCATAATAATGCTGTGAACCGCATTTACATTAAAAAGCACACTGAATGCATACATTTCTGTTAAAAAAGAAGAGCTGATGAAAACAAGCACAAGACCAGGTAAAAGGATGACAATTCTCAGTGTCTCAGACCTCAGACTTTTTAAAAACTTGTAGTATAATTGTGCTTGATGCAGTTACACTATGTCAGGTTTTGTTAGCAAACCACTGCCATAACGCCTGCTAGGAAGGAACCATGTTTATTGTTAATTATGCATGCATTTGTTAATATATTTCTGTGCTGAGACCATTTTGTATGCTGAGGCCGAGACAAGCTACATCCCACTGTCCAAATCATGGGGTCCATCCCAGAGCAATTTCTGTGCAAAAACCATTTGTGTGGATGATCTTTATAGTTTAAAAAGGGGGGACAAGATCATATTTTTCTCTCTTGCACAGTTCACTGCTACACAGAGCTTTGTACACTGTAGCTGCACAAAATAAAATAAAAATTACAATTTGGTTCCAAAATCATTTCACTAGAGTGAGGTTTAGAAAAATGCCCCATTATTTTCAGCTTTCCTTGCCTGAGTTTATCTCTCATACTTCGGAGTGACAGAGGACAAAGCATTAAAAAAAGTTGGTAGACTGTCACAGAGAGTATTTGAATATACTGTGGGCCTGGTCTCACACCCACTGACGTCAATGGCAGCTTTTGCATTGGTATCAGTGGTGACTGAATCAAGCAATAGAAAAACTAGCTACTGATCCCAAATAGAAACTTCCCCTTTTGGTAAGGCTAAATGTTAAACAGCGTATTTAAACATGATTCCATTGCATCTCACTCTCAGAGACAATTTTTCCTAGCACATGATTCCATAGAACATCCCTTATTTTCTCACACTCACTTTGATTTCAGTTGTAAACAACAAGAACTCAGTTTTTTAAAATATCTGCTATTCGTAGCTGAACAAAGGCAGAAGCAAAAACATTGCAGGATTAGACCAAAACAGTGGAGTTTAGATTTTTTTCATTATAGTTATATACACACACACACAATATATATATATATATATATATATATATATACACTCATAGTATAAATATATTCATATAATATTGTAAAAATATTAATTTAGCTCTAACTGTTAATACCTGATTTATATGGACTAACCTTATGCTGCGTTTATTTGATGATGTTTCCAGTTAATCTGGTGGCCATGTTAGAAGCCCTAGATTTAAAGGACTAGCAATAGTCAAGACACCCAGGAAAAAGCAGCCTGGATGTCTAAGCCAGTCACTTCTTGCCACGTGCCTGTAGAGGAGTTAAGTTGGAGGAGGGCCTTCGTATCTCAGCATCAAGTTGAAGGAGCGGGCAAAGTTGTTGGCAAACTTGCAGCTGTGGGTCTCCTCCACCAAGGGGAGCAGAAACGCCAGGAGCAGCAAGAACAGAAGGAGTATCTGCAGTGGCAGTGCTGCCCAGCACACGCGGTGCAGGAAAGGACACATCCCCCCTGGACGTCTCTAAAAGACACAAACCAAACGGGGATGACGGATTTATTGAGCATATTAACAAGAAAAATAATGACAATAATTGGGGGAGGTGCGACGGGCAGGGAGTAAAGACACCTCAAATATTTCCTAGAATCAGTGATAATGGAGGTGAAAAAGACCTTTTAGCCCATCTTATCCAGTGCAGAACTGATCCCCGTGATATATTCCTGCATGTTCTGTGCAGTTTGACTGATTAAAGTAATGGCGCTTGAACCACCTCTTTTAAGTTATTCCATGGGCTAATAGACCTCAATGCTAGGAATTATTTTCTTGAGAATTATTGCTTGGCTTCACTGGAGGAAGAAAACAACAATCCTCAGGGTCAGGTTTCTGATTACTAAGCAATTATAACTCCACCCCCCCCCCCCCCCCCCCCCCCCCCGACTGCTAATTGGTCTTCTCCCAGGGAATGTTGAGGAGAAAAAGTCTATTTTAGCAGCTAATATGTCACAGCAAAATGAAAGTTTTGCTTCCTGGGAGAAGTCAAACAGCCTTAGGCTTTGTCTCAGAAGAGGAGCTTCATATGCTGTTTGTATTCATTATGGCCAGATCACTCAGAGATATGATTTGGTTTGGTTTCCCAGTGCAGTCTGATCCTTGGGCCCTCTCTGTTTATTGCTGACCTTCCCCATGGGTAGGGAAAGCAGGAGAAGGCTCCTGCATTATTACAGCCAATCCACTGTTTCTCATGCTTTGCCAGACAAATTTTATAGTTCACAAGATGCAACAGAATGACAAAGAAAAGGGAGCAGCACAACAGATGGTGAAAGCTGGCTTTAACATGAAGTACTCCATGAAAGGAAGAGAAGAGCCAAATTCTGCTCAGTTACACTTGTGTAAATCGAGAATAATTCTATTGACCGCAAGGAGTTGCTATGGATATATACCAATGTTACAAACCAGAATTTGGGCCTGGGACTTCAGGAAATACTCATTAAAGTGGAGGGTTCCCAGTGGCAGGATTCCTGGTGATTATTAAAGATCTCTCTCAGGAAAAAAAAAGGTTAAAAAGTAACCAAATACTCGGGTGAGGCAGTTTTTTCAGTAGGCCTGGATTTACATTGGCAGCATAGTAATGATATTTAGCAACTACCCAATACCAGTCATTTACATGCTTTACAAATCTTAATTAATTAATTCTCATAACACACCTGTGAAGGGTAGTATCCTCATTTTACAAATGAGGAAACAGATAAGTTAAGTGACTTGCTCAAAGCCACAAAGGAAACCAGTGTCAGAGCTGGGATTAGAAATTCGAACTCCTGGCTCTCATTTATAACTTCCTCCCACTGCATTACCAACAGACCCTGCCCTTTGAAAACACCAGCAGAAGATAATGTCAATAGACTAGAATATTGTCACAGACGAATGGTCTGTATTAGAAATTGTGGAGATGTTTCTCCCCCTTGTAACTAAGCTCCTCAACCTCCTGCTGCTATATATAAATGCTGGGGCACTTATAGAAATTGCCAAGGCACACAACCCAGACACAGTTTCAGAGCATGAGATAATGATTCTGTAAAAATATTCTTCTGTTACAGCTGATTTATTTCTGCTGTATCAAATGACTGATGGAGAACTAGTTATTGGATCTGGCGGATGTTGAGGCAATAGAGTGACAGCTGTTTGTTCTACCCTTTCTGACTTGCTGCATTGTGACTGGGTTAAGGCCTGATCCAAATTCCATTGAAGTCAGTGAAAACTCCCAGCCCTTTGAGAATATGTTGGGTGCTTCAGCTGCTTGTGTTCATCTTTCGCTTTCAATGAAGTACTAGAGAAAATTGGGAGTCTAAATTAAGGTGTTCCCTGAGGGAACTTCACCGTGCACAGCTGGCCTTTACACAGAAAATAAAAACTTAGTGACCCTGGTAGCATTGCAGGAGCCATTTCTACATACAGATCTACTGTTCTTGACTATTGTGTCCAATGCACTAGACACAACTGGGTGTCCTTATAGGTTTTTCCCTTCTATTAGTCCTACAGGCCAAACCCTAACGTCCTTAGTACACTCTTAAATAAAAGTTTTGCCCAAGGACTGAATAAAATCTGAGCTGGGAGAGGGAATTCACACCCTTACGTTGAATAGTCCCACTGATTACAAAGGGGTTAGTCACAGAGTAAGGTACTAATAACCATGAGTACAGGTGGCAGCATCAAGTCCTGAGTGAAGCATTCAGAGTTCGGCTCTAGATTCTACAAAACAGGCTCTTCTTCAACATCACCACACTCTCCTTGGAGCCATGTAAATCAATGGCATTTCACTAGGGATTTCTATTTTCACTAGTTCTTCTCTATTCCTGTTTAATTCTCCATTGCCACCATAATAGCCTAGTGCAGCAATGTGGTAGAGATACTTATTCTAAATTCCTGTCTTTCAGACTCCAGAGCCATGCAAAACCAGACCATGTTTACTGCTATTTGCCAACAGAGTTAGTTTTGTTTGATGGAAGATCTGAGGCAGAATTATCCTTGCCTTGTGAAGATGAAGAGTAACTCTTTCTCCCACTGTCAGAAAATGAGCACTTCTACCAGGAACAGGACGTGGAAGTACTATTCTCTCTGGCACAAGGTTTAATATCAGCATTATTAAAGGAGAGTTCCCTATAATAGTGTACACCTCAGTGAGGGATGGACATTACAGATGAGATTTTCAAAAGCACCCGAGGGAGTTAATTGACTTGTGCTCCTAACTCCCTTTGGCGTTTTTGCAAATCCCATCAGATAACTCTCCAGAATTCAATATTGCCTTATGTTTGGAGCTAATTGCCAAGCCAACTGCTCTGCATTTGCCCTCCTAGTTATTTATTCCTGCCGGAGAGAGGGTACAGAGGCACTAGGCTTTTCCATTTGTGGTTCATCTCCACTTCTGTTGTCATCCAGCAGGTGCCTTAACAGTATCCAGGACTTCCTAGGGCATCCATGTTGCCAGTAAGTGTAGTCTGTCTCTCACTCTCTCTTGCCTGTGCCAGCTCTCCTAGGGAGGTGTAGAGGGGAGAAGGTTGCTCACTGAGGGCTAAACTCTGCTTGTTCTTCAGCAGGTGCTCAGTGGTGGTGAGAAGGGTGCATGGAGCCTTCCCCTCAACTTCCATGGACTGCCTGAATAATCCTAAAGGTGCACAAAGGGGGCCAGGAGGGGGCAGAGCCAGGTCCCTACCCCTCCACGCCAGCCTCAGGGATGGAGAGAGGCGCACCCCATAAAGGGGTGTAGTAGTGGATGCACTCTCCCAGCGCATCCACAAACTCCAGCAGAAATGGCCTCTGAGGCAGGCTCCTCCATGCCCTTCTGGCGTGGTGTGGCTCCATGCTCTGCTCAAGACAGAGCTATGGCTAATAGGAATCGCTAGCCCTGACTGTCTGGAAGCCCAGCTGACAGAGCTCCGTACAATGCTTGCCAGCAGGAGTTGTGCCTTAGGGATACAAGGAACACATGAATTCTACTCCCAAGCCCAGTCATTAATTCAATGCAAGGATAAGACACCATGGCTCAGTTTCCCCCTCTGTAAAACAGGCAATGGCCTTACCCACAGATGTGTTACAAGGCTTAAATACTGCTTGTCAAGTGCTTCAAGATCCACCACTAAACACTGCAAAACAATGCTGCCTTTCATGGCTCTGTGTATTTTACATATACTATTTTTCTGAGGCTGCCTTATTTATAAGCTAAGACTTTATTTCACTGGGGCTTTTAGTAGAGTAAGATACCACTCAATGAGACTAACAGTAGCCAAATCTGGCATTACATCTACTGTGCAAAGAGGGACTTTACACTGGGGAAAAACTTGAGGCAAGGAAAATGAATTTACTTTGCCTGCAGTTTCTACACTATTTCCTTGCTGGGATTGAAGAATATTTTTTTCCTACACAGCCCAGCTTCTCCATTTTGCCTGATCATATAGCAAGGTCATAATCTTGTATTTCACACACCAGTTTGTTCTTGCTCTTGTAGCTCGAAAGCTCGGTCTCTGTCTCTTTCACCATCAGAGTGACAGCTCTGGACCAATAAAAGATATTACCTCACCCGCCCTGTCTCTCTCATATCCTGGGACCAACATGGCTACAACAACACTGCAAAGAATATTTTCCTACTACTCTCCCTCTGACTTGGTTTTGATCATAATCCAGAATCCAGGAGAATGTTGTGTTAATTTGTCCTAGGGACCTAAGAGATAGTAGCATCATAAACCACAGCCTGTCCAGCTAATGGTACACTACTTATCTGTGAGTTTAATGACTTTGCTGCTACCTATATGTGCCAGGCATAGCAGACACAAAAGAAAGCACCTCCAGAGCTGCTGTACATATCAGGGGTCCCATGGAAAAAAAAAGTGATCACATAATTAAAGACTGTATCATAATGCACTGGGGGCTGAACTAAGATTACACAAACAATATTAATTCTGGCACTTCTTACCTATGGAATGCTTGGGTTTGTAACCTTAACGTTTTTAAAGTAGGTGGGTGGGGATGTGCCCATGCAACGTCTGCGGGGAATTTTGAAAGCTGCCCAGTTCCTAAGCAGACAGGCAAATCCCAGGGTTTTGAATTCCTCCGGTGCACTCAGGAGAACACAGAGCTGACTAGCCTAACAGCCACAGTCTTTGTACGAGGGTCAATTTAAAATCACAGCAAGAAACAAACCAGCAGTTCATACTCTGAGTCTCAGAAGACGTATGGACGACATTTCAAAGTTTCTGCTGCAAAGTCGCTTAAAACTAAGTATGCTGCCATATGTTACTGTGACACGGATGGATTTACGACAGCCAGCTCTACAGATAGATATGGCACAACATGCACTTAGGATAATAATGCCACAGGCAAAGTGGTGGCACTGGATCTGATAGAGCAGCATTGCAGAGAAGAAAACATTGCCTTCGACAATTCTTTATACATAAGGACACACAAGTTTCTGGTTTTGTACTCAGCAAGCTCATGACATGATCAACGGAAGCTGCTTTCTTTCTCTATCTCCT